AAAAAAATGGTTTCCAATTTGACAGGAAATGTCCCATATATTGAAAAGTGTAATAAAAATTTATCAAAATTAATTTTTAATTTCAAAATCAAAATTCAATTATAAAAAAATTTATAATTTGAATTCTAAAAGAAATTACAAAATATTTTTAAAATAATTTTTTATAAACACTATACGAAATATTATAAATAATAATTGCCCAACAAAAAGTAAATAAAGGTATTAATAATAATAATATTAATTATAAAAATTAAAAATAATACAATTTTTAAAAAAATTATTATTATAAAAATAAAAAAATAATATAATTGTAAATAATAATAATAATAATAATAATAATAATAATAATAATAATAATAATAATAAATTTTAATTTAATAATTTTTAATGAAATTTTAATAAAGACTAATTTTATTAAATCTAGTTTTCTTCAATGTAACTCAGGCTTTTTGTTTGATCCGGCTAATGTCGCCATCTGTACGACTTAACGCGCAACTAAATGCCCTGACAGCAGTCGATATTGCAGAGATCTTTCAAGAAGCAAAAAAATTATAGTCGGTAAAACAGATAACTACAATGAAATTTAAATTTTTAAAAATTTTGTTTCTTAGAACCACAATTTTTTATACTTGTTTTTCTTTTCTTCTTATCTTTCAAGGAGAGTGATGACCGTAACATAAACTTTATTAAAAAATGGTTTTTAATCATATTTTTAATAGCAGATAAAAATATAATAAAAATTAATTTCAAATAATTTTAAAAGATGTAGTAATAAACTTTTCACAAATAAAAACAATATTGAGACAAAATCTTTCGACAAAGATTTTTTTTTTTTTAATATTCTGATTTTTTTTCCAGCTCAGACAAAAATTAGTAATTTTTATCCAATTTTTTTAAACAATAGCTTAATTTACTCATTGAAATATTGTCTACAATCATAATGTTTTCAATGTTGTTGAAAATATATATATATTTTTTTAAATTATAAACAATTCAAATTGTTTTTAATAACAATATTGAAAAAAATTGCAATTGTAGAAAATGTTACAATTAGAGTAAAATAAATTATTGTTTATCAAAATTTGATAAAAATTTGCAATTTTTGTCTGATTATCTAATTATCAAATAATCAAAAATAACAAATTACTATTATCAAATAAATATTTACCTGAACCAAACATATTTTTATTTGATTTAAATAAACTGCGTATTTGAACCGAAAATTTCTGTTTTTGTAACAAATACCATTTAATTGATTCAAATAATAATTATTTAATAAAAATAAATATTTATTTGATAATAACCAAGTAATATATATATTATTTGAATATTGAATCAAATAAATTTCTTTTAGTGCAGAAATTAAAAATTTTAAACTTTTTTTTTTTATTCAGAAACGAACGATTGTGAGTATTAAAAAGTTATAACCCAATTCTTTGATCTGGACCCTCAAAAATTGTTTAATATTGATTTCTTATTATATTTTCAATTAAAAAAAAAGACATGTTAAAAACAATTTTTTATTTTGAGGTTATGTTATACAGTCACTATCCTAATTAAAGTACTATTTCAAAACACCGAATTGAGAAAAGGGAGAGTAAGTAAAAACTTACCTTGCGTCGCCATCTCTGCGGCGCAAAAAGGGAAGAAAAAATTTTTATTAGATACCTTATCAAATCATTAAAGATTGTAACGTCAAAAGCCATAATTTTGCTATTTCATTTATATATATATATTTTTTAAATCTAAACATATATTATATATATAAATTCCTTTTTCTGTTTCTTTATTTAATGTAGTTTTATTTATTTAATTTCATTTTATTGAAAAAAATTATTAAGCATTTACCAAAAAAAAAAAAAATCGGAAAAAATTTTTAACGGAATTTCTTTAATTATTTTCAAAATTGTCTTCCTTGTTTACCAATATATAAAATTAAAAAAAAATTCTTTTTAATTTGAGTACTATTCTCTTTTCTTTTTTTCATTTAAATTTTTCTTATTTAATTTTCTTTAAATAATTGAAAGTTTTTAAATTTTGCGAAAAAAACAGATAATTGATTAAATTTTGAGCTAAAATGAAAAAAAAAATTATTCAAATAATCGTTTACTTGATTATTATCAAATAAATATTTATTTGTATCGAATAAATTCTTTTTTTTCATTGTAGGTACCATATCTCGAAAATTAATTATTAATACAATTATTATTAATACTAGCAAAATTACACGCGCGCGTCCAACTTTAAATGCAATGGTTGTATTAAAATAATAATAATAATTCTGCATCAGTGGAGTAATAAATTAATAATAGGTATATTTCTAATTTTCACGTTATTATTTATTTATACACAGAAAAAAATGAGTTTGATGTTATATAAATAGTGATTTTTTAGTTAATATATTATTATTATTATTTTATTATATTATTTATTATATATTATATTATATATATTATTTTATTTATTATATTATTATTTTTTAGTTAATACAGCAAAAATAATTTAGCTAAGTTAATTTTTAAATTTAATAAACTTGTAAAATTATTAGTTCGATTGTTGACGGTAACAACAATGAAAACCTATAAAAAAACCTATCGAAAAATTGATGATCAGAAAAACATAAATTACAACCAATAGTTACAATTGGTGGTGTAAATGTTGATAAATCAATTCTAGTATCGCCAACATAACCGCCGCGACTCCATCTACTTGCCGTAATGCGAATAATTTAGAGTTAAGTTAAAGAAAATGATATAGAAAAGTATCAAAAGTTAAAAAAGAAAAATTAAATTATAAATTTTTTATTTAACTAGCTTCAAATAAAAATTAAAAATTGTATGACAGTTTTATTAAATTTTATTTTTGTTGTTTACTTGTTATACAAAATGTGCATAAAATAGTATTTATTATTATGTAAATTTTGTTTAATTTATTAATCACTTTAATAATTATTTTTAAATTAAATATTAAAAATTTAATTAACAAAAACTTAATGAAACGTGAGTACATTGATTACTAGTTTTTGGCGTAACATTTAAATTCAAGAACACTATTAAATAAAAAATATAATATAAAAATGTTTAGTTAAAAGATATTTGTCTGTTAATGAATTATAGAAATTAATCAATTAAATTAAAAATAATATATAAAGTCTCATAATAATATTTTAATTTATTCTTTAATTTTTTAAAAATATTGTCGAGAGTCTCGGTCTCGTGAAATTTAGTATCGGTATCGTCTAGTTTTATCCAAGATGGGTCTCGTCTCGGTCTCGTCTCGAAAAACCGAGACGATACGAGACGAGACCGAGACCAGTCTCAGTCTCGTGGGCAGCACTATTAATGCTCGATGATTTTTTATAATCTTTGAAATTACAAAAAATTAGTTTTGCTAAATATTTTTTTGTATTTTCTATAAATATTTCATTGCAAATGAAAATTTTAAATTTATGTTTTTTTTTCAAAAAATTTAATTAATTGATAATTAATAAATATTAAAAAATTATGTAATCAAAAAGAAAATTAAATTAATTGAAAATTATTAATTATATTTTAAAAAGTATTAAGCAATTAAAAAATATTTAAAAATTTTGAAAAAATAAAACCTTGAAAAAAACTTTGTAATGTTTTAAACTTTAAACTTAAATTAAAAATTAAAATCAAATTGAAAATTTTTTAAAAAAGCAAACTATTTTTATATTGTTTACAGATAAAAAATATAACAATTTAATAATTAATAATAAAAACAAATTAATAATAAATAATAAAAAATTTATGAATTATAATATATAATAAATAATGAAAGATATTATAATAATAATGAAAGAAATAATAATTATATGTTAAAATGTTCTAATTATCTGTAATAATCATTATATAAAAAAATGTTTATATATATAATATAATAAATTTATAAATAAAAATAAAAATTATATTATAATTGAAACTTTTTTTTTCTATAAATACCAAGTAGGAAATATACTGGTGCTGCACACAATGAACAATATATTTTTTTTACTTTAAACTGTCACTTAGTATATGACTTAATTAATGACAATGAATAAAAATATCCGTCGCGTTAACCATAAAATATTACGAAATCAAGAATTGTCGAAATTTTAGAAAAACAAAAGGAACAAAATACGACTAACTTCAAGTGTGGACAGACGGAATGAATGAATACAAAAATTCTTATAGTTAATAATTAATAATAATTAATAATAATAATTAATAATAATAAAATAATTGTTTATAAAATAATTACTAATAAAATTATTAATAATTAATAATAATATAAATTAATCTCGCGGGGAAAATAATAAATGAAAAAAATCTACATTTGAAAGCAAGATGTCTAGATGGTTAAAAGAATTTCCGTTCGCGAATATATATATATATATATATATATATATATATATTTTGCCGACAGGCATGATTGAATTATTTGATAATCGTAAATTCCTTGGAGAACCTTGTCAAGTTGGATGATCCGTTATTATACGGTGACCTAGCATGAACACTGCTTGTCTTTATAAGCACGTAACTCGGTTAGTCGATCTCATATATTTTTTTGTGTACTTCTCTCTTTCAAAGTGCTTACAATTCTGTTGTATATAAGTGAGACATTTTCAAGTGCACAAAAACAGAGGCGAAACAATTTCGCCTTTTTTTTACATTCTCGATAGAGTATTCTCTTAGTTTTATATAATATATATCTCGCGCACAATTTCTACGTCAATTGGATAATCAACATAACGAGATATATAGGAAACAAAAAGTGCAAGAAATTTAAAATCCAAAAAAAAATTCCAAACTTAAAACTATATCAATACAAAAAAAATATTAATTATTCATCAAGAAGTGAATATTATTTTTTCGCATTTTCGTGTCAGTCTCCTCAAATATTTGGGATAATAATTCAACGATATTGTCATTGAATTCGTGAAAAATATCAATACTAAAAAAAAGATAAATAATTAAAAAAAAAAAAAAATGACTTACTTGGAAGTGAAGGATGATGGTCCAGATCAAACCCAGCGTCAGCTTTGGATTGCCATCGACAATGTCCTCGGCTCGAATATTAACCAACTTGATTTTCTTGTATCGAAGAAAGTCAAGTGCCATTTGCACATTTTGCAGCATGTGGAAACGCATTCGACCCCTTTCCCGTGGCTGAAAAAAAAAATTTATTAATAATTCTTCTTTCTCTTTATGCAACATTAATTAACAAAAAAAAAAAAACTATAATTTCTAATTAATTTTATTTTATTCATTAATTAAATATTTGTAATAATAAATTTCTTCTTACGAATAAAAATAATTAATTATGTGTGCTACTGTTTTAAAAAAAAGTATAAATTTACAAAAGTCTAGAAAGAAAAATTATTTCTACTGCAATTATAATTATTATAATTAACATCCAATTAATTAAATGTCATTTATAATTAAATCTATTTATAATTCAGAATTATTAAAAAAAAAAATCACATTCTTTCTACAATTTTCAAATCAATTTTTTATTATTAAATAATATTATTATTTTATGTATTATTTTTATTAATAAAAAATTTTTTTTTTATAGGTAATTTTCTAAATAATTAAATTTCGAATCTAAAAAAACAAAAATAAACATTTTATATCATAATTTAGATAAGCGATCATTAAAATTGACCTAGTAGAGGAAATGAATGCATGTCAAAACGTCAGAAGTTGAAGCAAATTTCTAGGCTTGCAGGATAATTGGTTTATCAATTGAATTTAACATTTTCACACACGATTAATTAATGAAAACGTCAATTATTGTGATACTTGGATTTCCTTCAAATATCCATTATAATATACAACGTTTAATTAAACTTTATATAGTTAGAAGCAAATTTTATTGATCAAATATTATTTATTAAAACTAAAACAATTTTATAAATATTCAACATTTTATTTAAATTTAAATTTTAGTAAATTACCTTTTAATAAAATTTTGTATTTAGCAATATTTTATAAATAAATTATTATTTAATATAAATTTTATTAAGCAGCAATTTTTATTATTTAACAAAATTTATTATTAAACTAAATTTTAATATAATAGAAATTTTATTTAATCAAATTTTTATTTAGCAAAATATTTAATTAAAATTCTCATTCACATTTTAGTCAAATGAAAATTTATAATCCTGACTAATAAAAATTTGGCTAAATATAAAATAGAAAATTCAAATAGAAATTTTACAATTTAAATAATTTTTGTTAATTAAAAATTTTGTGATAGAAAATTCTTTTTAATCAAAATTACGTTAAATTAAAATTCCTTTTGAATAAAAATTATTTAAAATGAAAATTGGGTATTTAGAAATGATTCGATTTCGTATAAATATGAGAAAAATGAACGACGAAGGAATAATGTAGAAATTAATCGAATGAATGATTCATATTGCTTTTGTGCAAGTCTATTGCACTTTTTTTTTTTTTTTTTTTTTTATATTTGAAATGAATTCGCTGAAAATTATGGATACTGAAATTGTTTGCCAACAGGTAAACACCATTAAATTCTGACTTATACGGACAAGCTTATGGTTACGTTAATTAACTGCAATTTAACTGCTAGTTTGTTTGTTCCCAATAAATGCCAATTTCAATTTCCCCTTCTCGTCCCCCTGATATACCTCGCACCCACAACGACTTTGTAGATTTGTGTCGCCATCATTATTATAAAAAAAATTTATTTAACCATTTTAAATTTAGATTTAAAACGAAAAATATTGCCTAATTTTGAAAACGAAAATTATTAAAAAATTAATTAAAAAAGTTTTAAAATATCGAAAAAAATTTTTTATTTTTCAATTCAGATGTTATAAATAAAACTTTTTAATTAATTGGAGTTCTTTTTATAGTTTGTAATTTTTTACCTTAAATACGTTTCATTAAAAAAAAAACAATTTCTAATTTTAAGTATATTGCAAAAGAGCAAAAAATTTTTTAATATTTTGCAAAAATTTTTTTTTTTGTACTTTAAGAAAATATTATATTAATGGTACAAAAAGCAGTTTTTACGATTTTCACGTTCGTTCCGATAGTAAAAAAAAAAAAAAATAAATATTAATGAACGTTAATATATATGTCAATGACAATAATTTTTTTTTTAATGAAAGTAGAAAACTTCAAAACAAATTAAAATTTAGTATTTTTTTTTAATTAATGTATTATAATACATTTTTTTCATTTAAGGTGGTCGTATTGTTTTTACTGTAAAAGTAACGCTAAAACGGTTATTGCATCAAGACCTCCAATTTTACACTATTTCTATATTCAATTTTCTATTTATTTATTATTTTCTCTATTCTATATTTTATCAAAATTATATCATTATTATTATTTTTGTTACAGACACGTTTATTATTTTTACAATGTGACTTTAATTTAAATTGATAATTTATTTATTAATTTTATATAATAAAAAACTGAAGATAAATATGTAATGATAAAAAAGGAAAATATATTTACTATGTCTCATTTCTTTACAAATTTTCTTCATTACGAAAAAGAATGACTTATTTTTTTAAATTTCAGCGAGTCTTTTATATAATGATGTTAATTTTCAGAGTCAACAATTACATTTTTGTTCATTTTTGTTTTTTTGTTTTTTTATTGACGATGCTTCTCACCTTCGTCTGTTGATTTCTATTTTTATGAACACAATATAGTTATTTTAATTTTACGTTTAGTTTTCATAAATAAAAAAAAAACATTTTTTCATTTAAAAGCCGTGACGAATATTTTTCCTCTTTTTTCAATTATGCATTTTTATTTAATTTTCTTTGGTATTTAAAAAAAATGTTTCCTCAATCAGTAAAAACAATAAATTACAAGGCAGAATTTTCATTGCAACGAATTTCAATTTGAATTAATTTTCTCTTATAATTACTTTACAAAATTAAAACCCATTTTCATTTTTAGACAAATTTTTTAAGTATCAGAATTTTTATTTTACTGAATTTTTATTTGTTCGAATATTTATTTAGCCAAATTTTCATTTAGCAAAATTTTAAAATATAAACTAATTCTCATTTGACCGAAATGTTATTTGTGTATGAAAAAATATTTAGCACAAATTTTAATTGTTTTATTTAACTGAATAAAAAAAGACGAGTTTTCATTTAATAAAATTTTTATTTAATTGAATTTTCAATTAACAAACGTTTTCATTTGACTCAATTTTTTTTTAAATCAAATTTTCTCATTTTTATTTAGCAAAATTCGATCAAATTCTGTTAAATTCTGCGATTAAATAAAAATATTAATTAATTAAAATTTCATTAAACAAAAATTTTGTAATTTCTATATTTACTAAATAATAATAAAATTGAAAAGAAAATTTTGTTGCGGAATTTTTATAGTTTTATCAAATTTTCTTTTAATTTAAATAAAAATTTTAATAAATGAAAATTCTGCTAAAAATAATAATAAAGCTAAATAAAAATTCCATAATATGGAGATTTCACGTGAAGTGATCATGGTGAAAAAAACATTTCTTTTCAAACGCGTTCACTTTCAGGTAATTTTTGCAATTAAATAATAAAATTCATTTTTTTTTTCAATATAACTTTTTTTCCCGCGCTTCAAATTGGTTAAAATAGAAAAATTTTTTTTACAAAAAATTACCATTCAATAAAACTATAAATTATCTAAATTTGGGTAGGATTGGGAAAAATTTTTTTTTCCCTTGGTAACTTCACCTGAAATTCATCATATAAAAATCACGAAAATAAAAAAAATAAATAAAAAATCCTTTTCTTGGATTGAGACATATTATATGGTTAATAGAAATGTAAAAAAGGTGTGACTTACAAGATGCTCGCCTGAGAGTACTTCCAGCAGGGAAATGAGGTTGTGCCCGTCCCGCAGGTCCTCGAATAGGTCCCCAACATGTCTGCTTGCCTGAAACAAATCCCATAAACACATTAAACGCATGCCATTCCATAAGGATGTTACTACACAAGAAACGCGTCACTCCATAAACTACCATAATTGTAAATCTAGGTCTCCTCAAATGATGATCAATGCTCATTTTTCTGCAATGTGCCATATACTTTATAAATGTCATCATATACAGGCGCCACAAAAGAAAAATTAATATTTGCACAAAAAATTTATAAGAATCAATTCATTTATTTTTCCAATTTAATTTTATCTAGTTAAAAAAATATTAAAAAAAAATTTAAACAATTTATTTAAATAATTTCATATACCTAAAAATACTAATTCCTATGTACATGAAAAATTATTCGATACTTAAAAATTATGTTTTATCATTTTTTTTTTTTTTGTTAAAAACAATTGTTATAAACAATTATGCATCATTCAAAAATATTTGTTTTAAGTTTAAAACAGTAATTTTCTTCGTTTCAAAGAAATAATTTCTTTTTTTAAAAAAAATATCCTTGAATGAATTGACGAGTCACCGACTGCAATATTATTATGAACTTTATGGCACGCTTCACATTAAATTACCATTTCGTCTCGTTCATTCGACTATATGTCAATGAGAAAATATATAAATAACAATAATCAATCGGGAAATAAAAAAAGTAAATATTATTGCGAACATTTGATATAATTTTTATATTTCAATAATAAGGAAATTGAATAATTAATTAATAACTGTACTGAATTAACTACCAGCGAATGATATATTTGCATGCAGAGGAAATTGATGTTTCTTCAATATGATGCGACAAATTAATATTTATACTGAAACATTTTTCTAATGATTTCAAATTACATTTTTTGTTTTTGAAGCAAATAAATGCTTTGAAAATATGAAATAGAGAAAATATAAATAATTTTTTCACACAATGAAAAAAAAAATTGAAAAATAAAAAAAATTATTTTCAAAAAAATTAATACAGAAAGCTTAATTATTAAAAAGAAAGCTCAATTGAGATCAATTGAAGGCGCATTTAATTTTAAATAATTCAAGTCAAAATATAATAGATTTTTGTACAAAAAAAAAAAAAAAAAAAATGATTAAAAAATAAAAATTTGATAAAAATATTGACTATATAAAATTATTCAATTATATCAACTAATAAAATTAATATATTAAATAATTTGATATAACTCAAATGAAATTTAAGGCCAGGTCCAAGTAAGGCAGCGCCATCTACATTGATACTAAAATTTTGGAAAATTTTCAACAGCCTTTTCTTGAAAACAAGAAGGTAAAATGCTTTTTCCTTTATGGATTATTGATTATTGGCAAGATATACACCAGCTAAAACTTTTTTTGAGTTAAAATAATAAAAAAAATTTCATGTCAATAAATTAAATATGAGCACTTTTTTCACAAAAACTGTAACAGTACTTTCTCAGAAATTACAATCAAAAATGTAATTTCCATTTGGAAAATTAATAAACGCTAAAAAATACACGACCTAAGATTTACCAATCACGAAAATAAGAAAAAAAAATTTTATTAAATATTTAACATATTGATACTGCTTTACTGATTGTGACAGCCCTTTGGTAGATTATGTATTTCAGGTGGTTAGCAACAGCGCCAATCTCCTCCTTTCGGCAAAACTGCGAAACGTCTGGTGACATATACAACCTGCCAAACGGCTGTCATAATGAGTAAAATATGTTATGTTAAAAATTTTTTTTTTTGTTATTTTCGTGATTGGTAAATCTTAGGTCGTGTATTTTTTAGCGTTTATTAATTTTCCAAATGGAAATTGCATTTTTGACTGTAATTTCTGAGAAAGTACTGTTACAGTTTTTGTGAAAAAAGTGCTCATATTTAATTTATTGACATGAAATTTTTTTTATTATTTTAACTCAAAAAAAGTTTTAGCTGGTGTATATCTTGCCAATAATCAATAATCCATAAAGGAAAAAGCATTTTACCTTCTTGTTTTCAAGAAAAGGCTGTTGAAAATTTTCCAAAATTTTAGTTTCAATGTAGATGGCGCTGCCTCACTTGGACCTGGCCTTAAACAATTAGTTTACATAATTGTCTACAAATAATAGCAGCGTGACAACATAAATATTATATAAAACGTGCAACATCGAATATTTCACGGGGATCTTAAAACTTACAGTGGGAGAACAGCATGGCTGATTGTTGACAACCACGCACACGTGTAGACACGTGTATGCCTGAAAATGCGAATAAATTCAATACCAATATTTCAAGAATAATTTTCTTCAAACAATATATAAAAAATTTATATATATATATATATAAACTCACAACATTTATCGTACAATAATTATCTTATAAAAGTATCAATTATTATATCAATTATTATTATCAATTATATAATTTATATAAATGTTCATATCTACCATACACTGAAAAAAAAAATTTATTTCTTTCAAATAATCGTTTAATAATTGACCCACTTGGAAAGATTCCCCGGAAAGTGCCCCCTGGAGTTTCTATCAGAATTCCGCCGGAACTTCCAACATAATTCCGTCGGAATTCCAAAGAATTTCTGATGGGATTCCGACGGAATTTGTACTCTAAAAATTTTGAAAAAAAATAATCGGAATTTCTTTGGAACTCCGTCGGAATTCCGTTGGAAGTTCCGGCGGAATTCTGATAGAATCTCCAGGGGTCACTTTCCGAGGAATCATTCCAAGTGGGCAATCGGTATAGTATTTATTTGAATAATAAATATACATTATATTTATCGAAAAATATTTACAGGAACCAAATAATTTTTATTAAAATTAAATAAATTGTATTTGAATCAATAATTTTTGTATTTCAAAATGAATACCATTTAATTGACACAAATAATGATTATTTAATGAAATAATAATTTAATAAAAATAAATATTATTATTTGATAATAGTCAAGTAATCGATTATTTGAATAAAATAAATTTTTTTAATATGTAAAATGATCCATATTATAAAATTGTGAATTTATTGCACAATATAACAAATAGAATATAAAGAAACTAATAAAGATAATGTAAATTTTATTCAGCTTTAAGTAACTTTTCCTTTAGGAATTTGCCAATAAATTATGAAATTAAGAAATAATTATAAATATTATTTCAAATAATAAATTAAAAACACAGTAATAAATACGTTTCATACCTTGACGTATTTCCAGTGCTAAGTGAAAGCATGAAAAAAATTTTAACTTCTTTTTAATCTCCATTATTATTATTATTATTATTATTATTATTATTATTATTATTATTATTATTATTATTATTATTATTATTATTATTATTAATTGTATATTTATTAATAAAAATTATTAACAATAATAAATTAATATAATTATTATTGTTGATAAATATTATTATAGTAAAAATTGTACAAATAAATTAAATTACAAAACATTTGAAATTTTGTTTATAAATGATTTTTTTAAAGGGTGTCTAACAAGGATTGAGAAAAAAATTCTCTGACTTTTCCCTGACATTTTTTGATTTTACCCTAACTTTTCAATAACCTTATTTCAGCTTTCTTTGGACAAAAATATGGTTACTGACATATTTAACAATTAATTTCTAATAGTAGTAACAAATGGTAATAAAAACCATTCAAGTTTTTTTTTAGATTAAAAAAATTTTAAATTCACAAGAAATTTTAATTTTTGTAGAAATTTTCCAAAATTTCCCTGACTTAGAATGAATTTTTCTGAAATTCCCTGACTTTTCCCTGACCGTTAGACACCTTGTATTAATTTATGTTTATACATAGAAATTGCATTATAAAAAATTTTTCAAAAATGGATTTATTAGATTTTTTTTGGTCATTAAAAAAAAAATTATCTAAATGTAGATATATATGTTTGCGTTATGAATAAGGAATCAGGCCAACGAAATTTTTGACACGCAACGCTAATGATTTTTGTTGAAAGTGAAAATATTGGCCTTTAATCAACGCAAAGTTTCCTCGAAATGAAACTATGAAATGCCACGCGCTCGACATATTCCAATTTGGATTCTATCACGATCACACACGAATACCACGACATGTCAAAATTCCTGTCATTCTCACAAAAAAGGGCTGCGTCCTTGCATTTATATATTCTCGTCAGAGGCACATGTTTTTTTTCAGTGAATTCTATTTTTACAATGTCTCTTATTGGCATGTTTTTTTTTCTTCTTCAAATAAATGAAGTGACAATTACACATTCTCTAAGATTTAACCCCAATTCTATTTTTTTTTTTTTTTATAACTTATAAAAAAAAGATTTAAATTCGATTTAAATTTGCTATTCAATTTAAATAATTATATATATAATAGAATAATTAAATAAAAATATACCAAAAAGGTATACATACTTTGAATGAAAAAGGAGTGTAAGAGAAAAAAAAATTCCAAATAAGTAAAAAGTAATATGTTTATACAATGATATTTACTGCTATTACTTACTTTTTGATAAGAGAAGAGTAGAAACAGAAAAATAGTATTTCAATATCAGTGTAAATTTGCTCAATGATCCAATACAAAAGATATTAATAACATAATAATGAAAAATCCAATAATACAAAAGGGCCGCAACTAATAGAATGCGTTTTCAAGTTCCATACTAAAAATAGATTATTTAATTCAGTACACTAGTTTATCTATTCAACTATTTTTTTTTTTTTTTTTGCAAATAACAATCCTTAATCGATTGAATAAAAAAATACTGTGGGTATTCCTACGGGTGTACCAATTGCTGCAGTTTTTATAAAGTTATTATTATTTATCATTTATGAATATATGATTTTTTCAAAATGACTGCAAAAATTATTCTACATCTTACTTGATGAAATAGCCAAGAAAAATGTGCATTTCGTTAATTATTAATGTAATTATTTAAATTTAAAGTAGACTATGACTGAATTCCATGAAATTATCGACGAAGCTGAAGTACGCAACGTTTATGATAACGATTTTTTTTTATCCACAATAAGAATTATCAGCGTTGTTCGGGAAAGGTATACACGTAAGTTACGCGAATGTTTTGCGGAATTGCCAACTACTGGAAAAAAAATTTAGCTTTGTTTTGAACATGGATACATAACCTTCAAATTAATTTCGGTAAAGGCATCGAATAACAAACACAACTTTATAATATTATATTATCGTTTATTATTATTATTATTTTAATTATTAATTAATTATTATTATAAAAAAATGTTAATAATAATAAAAATAAAAAATATTAATATTTTTAATTATTAATTAATTATTATTAATTTATTATTATTATTATTATTATTATTATTATTATTATTATTATTATATTATCATTACCTGAAAGTTGACTTTTATTGTTCAATGTTTACGCATACATTTTTTTGATTCACCGTAAAATTTATTCATTACAAATTTCAAGAAAATATTTTTTAGAATTCGATTTTTTAAAAATTCTATAATTTTTACATATTTATATTAATTAAAAGTTTTAAAGGTATGACATTAATTTGGAGGTTATGTATCCACGTTCAAAACAAAGCGAAATTTTTTTTCCAGTAGTTGGCAATTCTGCAAAACATTCGCGTAACTTACGTGTACCTTTCCCGAACAACGCTGAAAATTCTTATTGTGGATACAGCCTTAAGGCCAGGTCCAAGTCGTGTCAGCTGTTCCATTGAAACTTCAAAGGAACAACTGACTCGACTTGGACCTGGCCTTAAATACGTTCACTGCGTAACACTTCGCAAATACATAACCTAACTTTTTTGTTAACATTACCGGTCACTCAGATCATTGTGTCATGCGCAGCCTAATTTTTTGCACAGGAATTGACACGAAAAGTTAAACTCAAAATTATCGATATGAAGTGACATAAGGAATCAAGCATTGAGAATGTAAAATTTTAATAGAGGGGCGTACTCCGAGTTGAGTTTCTAAACACGGAAGATGGATCTGTCGGCGCTCGCTACAAATTATACATAAAATAATTCCTTTAAAGACTTTTTAAGGCCAACGCAGAATAGAAACGTAACCGCAATCGTAATCGTAAACGCAACCGGAAGAAAGAGTTAGAGAAGGACAAACAATCTATCTATCTTTCTCTAACTCATTCTTCCGGTTGCGTTTGCGATTACGATTCCGGTTACGTTTCTATTCTGCTCAGCCCTTTACAGTATAGGAGAATTTTTAGGTTAGGAATCTTGTGAATTGGCAAGTGAGCCAATCATGTAACACAAAACATATGGCGCTAAATTTAAATCATAAATAACAAAACAATGAATACAGATTTTTTTCTAGGTTAAAATAATCATATGAAACTTTTTCCCATATAAAAATTATTTTCTATACAGACACAGAAGAATCTTTTCAAATTGTAATTTTTGCACTTCCTGTGTATTCATTAAAATCAAATATGCGACGAAAAGCACCTACTTAATCAAGAAATTGCGACACATGAAAATATAATATTCCAGGCACTAGATGAAACTAATAAAAGTGGGCGAAAGGAGAAGGTGTCCGAATAAGGTCAGACTTACAAGGCGTTGTAATATATAATGTGGGCGCCTAGAATCAGCCGGGTGGGCCGAAAGTCCGCAATCAGAATTTTGATAACGTCAAAAAAGTAATAATAATAATAATAATAATAAAAAATCTAACTGACCACATACGAAATGATAAAAATCTACCTGTCACACGCCTAGAAAACAAGAAATATTTTCTTCTATATTATTTCATTTTACAAGAAATTAAAAATTAATTTTAAAATAATGTTTTTCAATTTGAAAACTCATTTCATCTTTAAACTGCTACACCCAGAGAAATGATATATTTGTCTCACAGCCTAAGAAATATTTATTTGATTCAAATAAATTTTTATTTGATTTAAATAAAAAAATTTAATTACGCCAAATAAATAGGCTAGTAGGCTGTGAGACAAATATACGTTTATTTAACACAAATATATTATATTTGGTTCAAATAAAACATTTCTTTGGGTGTAGATGGTAAAAAAGTATGCCTAGTGCTTTTGGAGGTTATGCCAACTAGTTGAAGTTGCGCACAAAGATGCGCAGAAGTTACCTATAGAAGAATTTAGTTACACTTACGGCTAATGCCGGTAATACAGATTGCTATAAAACTAAAATTTCTATTGTACTTTAAAAAAAGTAATAAACGAAAAATGTTTACACAGCGGTCTGACAGACCGGTAAAGCAGTTTAAAGGTTAATTATTGTTTTTCTATGAAATTTCAATAAATATCAGAAATAAAAATTATCAGACTTTTAAGAAATAACTTTCCCCACGTGTAAATTAGTATGTCAAGTATAAGTAAGGGAAAATAAGAGAATATGGTTTCGCATTAAAAAGAAAAAAAAAAAACAAAAGTTACAATGACTCACACCGAGTGTATTAGATTTAAATACATTATCTTCTAGTATCGGAAGTGAATTTAGTCTCATGTTATAAAGGATAACAACCAAAAATTTAACACATACACAAACACAACTCATTATCTTAATTAGAATCTTAATCGCAAACGGAAAACCAAAAAGTGCTAATTAAACGTTAAATAATTGCTCCAAGAGCTAATTGTAAGCAACTCTCTCAGTCTCTAAAATTAGCTTCCTATATAGACAACTCACACACGTATATATATAAGACACTATACGGATGGAAAGTCGAACAACGAACAATGCTCAAGAGTAGAATCACAAGTCTCTAATTTGTCACACTACTTTTTATTGCCTTACCAACCTGAATAAGAAAAATTTAACAATGCAAACAATATTAGGGAGTGGCACATTCAAAAATTATACATTACAATATAATATTTTAGAATCAATTATATCTTAATGTTTTATTAAAAATTAATACTTTCATGTCATTAGAGAAATTTTTAAATAATCGAACTATTAAAAATATCGAATTTTTGAAAGTTGGAATTTTTATTTCATTGAATTTCCAAATGTTTGAATTATCAAAAGATCGAAAAATGTAGTGAGTTTACTTTTATATATGTTTTATATAGTCATGGTGGATTCTATTTAAGCGCGTTTAAAAATTCTACATTGATTTTGAATTTCGCGCGCAAATTGAATCAACTATGGCTATATAAAACATATAGAAAGTAAACTCGAAAAAGTTACGATCTTTTGATAATTTGAACATTTGGAAATTCGATTAAATAAAAA